GTTGCCGGTGGGGATAAAGAAATTTGTAAGGTAATTGTAAGGAAGAAGAAGAATGGGAAATGGGTTGATTTAACTTTAAATGGAGAACCAATTGACTGGATCCCCTCTCCACAACAAACAGAACGACTACTAAACAATAAGAATTTAACTGAAGTACAAGCAGAGAAGCCTAGCAGTTACATATTGGCTGAACAAGCGAATAGATTAAATGAGATATTAAGGGAATGTAAAATAAAGGACGAGTATAGACCAGTTTATATTGCAACATTTATGTTGGCTTTGTGGCAGGGTGAAGTGTCGATTAATCGTTCTGTTATCCTAACTCAGATTAATGCAAATGCAAAAGAAGCATTGATTAGTGCTGGTAAAGGAAAACTTGCTGATAGTTTGCGGGTAGATACTCAAAACTCAATTCTTTCTGAAAGAGGTTGGGAGATAGTCGATATTTTGACCAAGTTAAACATCAATTCATTTATACAGGAACATGATTATTTGGGGCAGCTTTATGAAACTTTTTTTAGATATACAGGTGGTAATACAATAGGACAATATTTTACGCCCAGACACATTATAGAATTTATGGCTGACGTTCTGGATGTATCTCCCCAAGATTCCATCTTAGATCCAGCTTGTGGAACAGGAGGTTTTTTGATCGGTGCATTAAACAAAATGATTAAGAAGTCAAAAAAACCATATGAAGAAGCTGTTGCGATAATTAAGGATAATTTATTTGGGATAGAATCAGAGCCATCAACGGCGGCGTTGTGCATAACAAATATGATACTTCGTGGAGACGGTAAGAGCGGAGTAATAAAGGACAATTGTTTTATTAATTTAAATTATCCTATTTCGAATGTTGATTTTGTTATGATGAACCCCCCGTTTCCACATAACAAAAAGACAGACACTCCAACAACTGATTTTTTAGATCGGGCTTTAAAAAGTGTAAAGAGGAGGGGTATGATGGCCGCAATTGTTCCGTATTCATTGTTGGTAAAAACAGGTGAGTGGCACAGAAACATATTAAAGGCAAACACACTTGTATTCACTTGCACACTACCACCGGATTTGTTTCAGCCTTATGCTACCTATAACACGGCTATTTTGATAATCCAAAAAGGTATTCCGCACGGTTCAAAAAATACTTTTGTTGCACGTATAACTAACGACGGATTTAAGTTAAAGAAGAATAATAGAATTGAAAGAGGAGGCAGTCAGCTACCTGTGTTGTTAAAAGCGTTTCAAAGCAAATCTGAGATAAGAGAACTTTGTGCAAATCCAGTAATAACGATAAACTCTAAGGAATGGTCGCCTGAAAATTACATTGATGATAATGAGCATTCCGACGATGAATTTCTCATTGGCCTAGAAGAAAGTATTAGAAATCAGGCGGCGTTTTATATTGCAAGCGGCGATAAACTATTTGAATCATCGAAGATTGATAAGGATAGCATCGCTGTATCA